GAAATGCCGAGCTTGGTCGTAAATTAAGATCGGACTATCCTGAAGTGGTCTACAACCAACTCAAGTTGAGTCGGATCCCGACATTTTTTCTGCTAAGTTTTTGGAATTGAAAAAATTAAATTGAATAAAGTAAAAAAAAATGTAGTAAATTATCTCAAGAAAAAGAAAAAATTTTAAAAAGTCAAAGATCAGGTTCGTTCCTGAACATACTGAAAATTTGGTAACAGGGTACTTAGAAATACTATACAATGGTACCCAATTCAGTACTTGATCAGTACCTTTAGGTACCCAATTACTGTGCATTTTTCAGCAGGGTACTTGCCAAAGTACCACTTAGGTACCTGTAAGTACTTTGGTACCCAAAAGTTCCTGTGACATACTGGTATCAGGGTACTTTTTTGGGTACCCTTAACTCAGTATATTCTCTAGGGATGTTGAAATCAACTTGGAATCAACTTGCAATCAACTTCAGTTCAACATGATTTCAACATGTTTCCAACTTGATTCCAACTTGGTTTCAACATAATTTCAACTTGATTCCAACTTGGTTTCAACATAATTTCAACTTGATTCCAACTTGATATTAAGTCAGATTTTAGGTGTTTATAATTGAATTTGAAATTCGTCGAAACGAAGCTTGACAATACCATAATCGACATTTTTTAATAAAATTTGTCGAATTCGACAAATTTGGATTTAAATTTTGTCGAATCGACAAATTTGCAATCGACATTTTTTGTATTCGACAAAATTGTAGGCACTCAAACAACTGTAATAAATAAAAGGTAGAGGATATTAAATACATTCTCTATCTGAAAAAAAGATAAGCAGCCAAATGAAATTTCGATCATTTCACCAAATTTACTTCATACTTATTAATTGGACGAATTTGGTTGAACAAAATTATTTGTTTACGTATTGACGCAAGTAATTGACTTAGATGATCAAGACCAAAGTTGTTTTTTTATTATGCTGTCTGTGTGTTGATGCGACAACTGTGCTCAATGAGCTTTTTCAAGATGTCCGAATCCGCGTGGTGATCTTTTCTCTAACCGAATTATGGAAGTTAGTAGCTTATACATTTGCGTTTGACAAGTAGCCTTTCAATAGGAATACTGTTCAAGAAGCCACTATCACTGAATTCTTTCGAGAGTACAAAGAGGTGGCCATCTTTACTCTCTTTTTTCTTCGTGAAAACCACACTTCGTTGGCTTCATTGTTGAGGAGGTGGATGTGAGGTGAGGTTCAAATTTCTATCCTATATACTTCAACACTCCGTTTAGATCATGTTTCACCAATATATCCACTGAGTCATTACTTTTTTATAACAGACGCCAGTACAATCGAAATTTTATTAATATGATATGAGTTAAACAATGATGAAATACAACAGAAAAGAAGAATATTGTTTTTACTATCGCTACATAGAAAAAGAAAGCTTTCTTAAGCTTTTTATACGGAAATAAAGTATTTCCGGCATGATTCTTATATTATTTTAAGTATAAATAACAATTAGTTATAAGAAAAGTTTATTTTCATGTCAATAGATTTCTTCCACATAATTATTGCTTTTAACGGTTCATCTAATAAAAAATAAAGTATAGCAATATTGTCATAAAGTGTTGAAAGTAATTGAGGAAATCGATTCCACAATGGAGGATTCTTAATAATGATCTGTTCGGCTTGTAAAAGACTTTGCAAAGCTTGAGGAAAATCGCCTTTTTTCATTAAACATAAACCAATTTGATATGATAAATCAACACATTGAATCGACGTAGGATTATTTTCATCATCTAATTGCTCGTTAATAAGCATCTGTTTGGTTTTTAAAAAGATTTCTAAGGCCTGAGGAGAATCGTCTTTTCTCATTAAACATAAACCAATTTGATATGATAAATCAATACGTTGAATTGATGTAAGATTATGTTCAGCATTTAGTTGGTTTTGATAATTTTTCAACTGAATTTCATTATCTAAGTTTATGATTGATCTGTCATGTTCATCGATATTGTTTATTTGTCTTTCATCAGTAGGATTTTGAATTGAATTTTTCTTTTTTAAAAGTATTTTCTGATGAATATCAGATTGGAAAATGTTATTTTGGTTTCCAATATGTAATGCTTGTTGATAACACGATATTGCATTATCAACATTGTCTATATTACTCCAAACATCACCGATATGATTGTAAAGTTCACTTGTTAATAAATTTGTTTCATCTAATAATGATAATGCAATACCATAATGAATAAAAGCATTCTCATAATCGGAAAAATGATAATACAGATAACCGATAATAATATGAATAACTATTGATTGAGAACTATCAATAGAAATATTGCCTATGAGAAGATATTTTTTATATAGTTCAATCGCTTTTTCATAACATCCTAAATTACTAAACATAAAAGCAACATAAATATATATCATATTGATAGGTAAATTATTTAAAGAGAACTCTTGTCTTGTTAACATATTATAATATTGTTTAATCATATTGTAATCATCAGTTTTCATAAATAAATAATGTTTGTTTTTAAACTCAAGAATATGTTTTTGAAAATCAAAAATAAAATTTTCAATATGTTCGCATATTTGATTGTTTAGAGTAAGTTCAATAATCCATGTTGAATGATTTTCTTGTTGAACAGAATCAATTGAAAAAATAGTTCCAACAAAAAATAAAATTTCTTGTTCGTCTGGCATTGAACTAAATTCAGAAATATCGATAAATGGGCGAAATCTACTGTTAGTTGTATCATTAATATTAATTTTAAATAAAGCGCATAATGGAGCATCATAAATGAATCTACGAGCAACGTCTTCAAGACGTGATGTTGATATCATTGTATTCATTGAAATAATGTGTCCAACATTTGATTGTAATCGTTTTAGATCATTTATATTGATAATTTGTCCTCGATAAACAATCAAAGGATATTTTTCTTTTTGTATTTTTGATAATTTTTGAAATTTCTTATATAAATTTATTAAATAATATTGAAATTGACAAATAAAATCAATATTTCTTGTGCGAAATGCTTTATTTAGAAGTCGATATAAAAATGAATCTTTTGCATACCAATTTAAAATATTTTTATTTGAACAATGCATTTCAAAATCCTTTATTTTTGTTAATTCACTTTGATTATTCTGATATTCTAATCGACATTGATCTAACATAATTCTTTTCAAATTTTTCATATTTACATTTGGATATTTAATCAAATAATAAAGAAAATATTGATTCCATAAAAGTGCTAAACTATTTCCATGTAAACTTGTTAACGATTGTTCAATATTATTTTCATTTAGAGAAGATATATTTATTGGTAAATCACTTCTATAGGTTAATAATATATCTTTACGTAGTCGATTGATTAATTCATCTAGATTTTGAAATAGATCAATTAGCTTTGGATGATCTTGTTTATTGAATTTCAAATTGTCATCTTGTTTCTTTAAAACATAAATTGATTGAATTTGAGAGAAATCTTCAAAAATCGATAAATATGCCAAATCCATCATATATACAAGAAGAATTTTACGTTCACTTTTAAACTTTTTTATATAACTAATACAAGCTTCACATGAATCATATTTTTTTAAATAATCAGCAAAATTCATTATACTATTTGGAACATCA